AGAAACTGCTCTTTTTTCAAGAACAGCTGTGCCAGAGTTATGGCTTGCCCAAGGTCATCCAGCCAGGTGCAAGTGGAGGAGTGGGGAATCAAACCCGGTTCTCCCAGATTAGAGTCCGCACCACTTAACCACTACACCAAACGAACCAGAGTACAACGATCCAGAGTACAAGCAGCCACCTTCACCAATCCCAGGATCTTATCGACATCCTTCACAGAACCTGGGTCAAAATGGTCCAGGTGGTAGTTACGTCTTCCAGTGTGTCTGTTACAATTGTTATATTCAAGGCATATTCTTGATATTTTATCGGAGAACAAAAGTATCACAGCTAATTGTCTCTGCCTGAGAAAATAAAGGCTCAGATTTTAGGATCCACAGTTGCTGAGCTAACTTGAGCAATCGGGTTGGCTGTGAACTAGCGGATGCTATAGTAGCAGAATAGTAAACATTTCTTTGCTGCAGTGACTGCCACTTCATAGGTCTTCCAGTGGGCTCTATGGCATAATCTGATTGGGTATGGGTTTGCCACCTGTGTCGTTCTAGATGTCTCCTGGCCCTCTTGATAGGGGCAGATGGCAGTCATGGGAAGAGACTAGGAAAATGGGCGGCAGGGTGCCTGAACTACCACACACATGTCCATGTTGCGAGTTACTCATCCAGGAGCAATGCTTGGATCGCCTGTAAAGATGTGGTGTAGGTGTTGGAAGTAGGCACATTGTGCTGGGGAATTCCCTGAAAGCCTGTTATGAGATACGGCCTTCTTGTAATCCAGACGCAGAGACTTGGATTTGGTCCTGCACTGTATTGCAAAATGGTTGTGACCACCAGTGTTCCCTCTAAGCTGAGTTAGTGTGAGCTAGCTCACAGTTTTTTAGCCTCCAACTCACACAGTTTTGTCTTAGCTCAGGAAGGACAGAGGGGAGGAGCAATGGGCGGTGATTCTACATGAGTGTGCTGAAACCGGCACAGACTAAAGATCCACTGCAAAACAGGTCTCAAAAAATGCAGAGCACTACTGTGATGAAACTGCTCTGGGGACGGAATCATGAAAAACAAATGCAGAGAAGAAAATTAACGGTGGAGCAAATAGAGAGTGAAGACGGATTGTGATGCAGAATGCAAATCTTGGACGCGCTCTGAATGCAGGGAAAACTACAAGTGCAAAAAAGGCCCCCAGTTCCATGGTAAACCAGAGGGCCAGTTTATGCCCCAGGAGCAAACAGAGAGGGGCAACTTTGTGGATATTTCCAAAACGATTCACATTCCATACTCCCACTGCCGCCTCAGCTGAGCATGTGTTTGGGATCCGAAAATCCCCCAGAGTGTTCTGGAATCTAATAGGATTCATGAGCCTCTTTGGGTAGATCATTCCAGCAGGGCCCCCTTTCATTCAGGGTGTTGGAGCTGCATTCAACTCGGTTTAAGTGGCCAGACCACACTTCTGGTCGAATATCTAGCCCTGAAACCAGGCCTTCTTTCAATTGCTCAGAGCAAAAAAATAAATCCAATGTGTGACCTTTTTCATGCGTTGGGCCCATCAACTTGATACAGGCTCAAGGCAGTCAAAGAGATTATAAAATCCTGGGCCAAACCTGATGAGGTATCCCCATAACGATCAGTCTAGAACTCTCCAGTACCACATCCGACAGTACCTCTGCCAACTCATAAAAGGTGCCCACTGAGGAACTAAGCAGCCACAAAACAAGAATGCCTAATATATATTTTCCTCATATGTTCCCCCACGAGCACTTCGGTCCGGGACGCAACACCTCCTGGCAATGCCAGGCCCCAAAGAGGCCAGGCTGGCTGCTGCCAGGGCCAGGGCTTTCTCGGTGGTGGCTCCTACCTGGTGGAACGAGCTCCCGGAGGAGATCCGGGCCCTGCGGGACCTTGTGCAGTTCCACAGGGCCTGTAAGACGGAGCTCTTCCACCAGGCGTATGAGTAGGAGCCGCCACTACCATCACTATGATTCCATCTTCACCTGGCTCTGGATGAGAACATCAGCGTTTCCCTGGAGCAGATGATGCTGAACAGCTGAAATACGCCATCTATGAAATATCTCGTTGAACATCTAGAGCACTTTAGTTAAGAACTTGTAAATAATGTTTTTGTACTGTTGGGATTTTAAATGGTTTTAAATATGTTTTATATTGGCGTTTGCCTCCATGTAAGCCGCCCTGAGCCCGCATTGCAGGGAGGGCGGGGTATAAATTGAATAAAATAAATAAATAATAAATAAAATAAATATTTAGTCCTTAGTGTAAGAAGCATGTATTCATACTTTGCACTGGAACATTAAAGACCTCTTGGAAGATAAGAGCCACACCTCCCCATTGCCCAGTTGTATAGGGTTGCTGGAAGACTTGTCACCTAGTATCTTCACAGGGCTGTTGGGTAGGTTAGGCTGAGTGATTAGGCTAAAGTGTAATCCTAATAAAAAAAAAAAATCACACTTGTTTATATCAAGAGTCCCCTGCAACCTGTGGGCACTTTTAGAATGCGGGCAAAAGGCTGGGGGTGTCACATAATGGCTACCATCAGGGCTCGGTCTAATCACAAAATGTTAGAGGAGGCCCAAAGCCAGGCTTTGGTAGTTGTTTCCAAATGGGTGCTCCCTGGGTGACACAAAGGTGATGTGTCCCAGGCTGTTCCGAAGCACCTCCTACTCTAATGGGGAAAAACCAGGAAAGGCTACATGCTTTGGGTAAGCAGTGGGTGCTAGGAAACGGGTGCCATGACAACCATGTGCATTATATTCAAGATCACTGCTCTCCATGGTTCACGTCCATCTTTTCCTCCTCACAACTCTACAGAGGTAGGTTAGATTAATTCACAACAGTCGCCTATCAGGATTCATGGCTGAGCATCAATTCACAGTGGAAATATGGCCTGAGCCACTACTATTCCATGAGACCAAGGGGTCCATTTAGTCTAGCATATTATTTCCAGTAATGGCTAATTAGATACCCACCAATGAGGGCATGAAGGGAATCAGGCTCTCTTCACCCCATTGCCTCCCACCAAACAGTGGCACAATGAGTGCAGTGCTTCTGAAGACAGAGGCTATTTAGCTCTTATGACCCTCTGTGAATTTGTCCAAAACACCCTCCACATGCCATGTATGCTGGTACTCGCTTTGTTACCAATAGACATTTGCTTTCCCAGAGCTGGCATTTCTTTTTATTTTCCCAATTTGGGTTTCTCAACTTTTGAAAGGAAGCTTTTTGTGATGTCTCACTATGTAAATATTGTGCGAGGGTTTTATTTCTGTGATTTAATGTGGGGTTTTATCAGAGGTCATTTCCTGCGGGAGCGCACAGGAGCGGAGCTCTGGCAGTAAGGAGCCCAGGGGGTGTGGCACATGCAACAAGCTCTGCCCCCTGCTCCCAGCAGCCCTCAGTTGGGCCACGAGGAGCAAGAAGCAGCCAGGTAAGTTGCAGAGCCCCTCCACCCCTGGCCTGCCTTCAGGTACAAGCTCTCCCTCCTCTGTGAGGGCAGATCTGCGTGTGTGCCCCCCCCCCCATAGCTAGCAATCCAAAACAGTCCAGTTGGGCCTAAGTGGTGGTTGTTGCCTTCTGACACACTTCCGGTGATGTCGGGGTGTGTGGCATATGCAAATAAGTTACGCTAATAAGTTATGCTAATGAGCTCCTGCACCTCTTTTTCTACTAAATGACCCCTGGGTTTTATTATGTGTGTTGCTGTGGTTTAGAATCTAGATTTCTAGAGTAAAAAAGAGGGGGCTGGATGGGTGGTTGAACTAGGGCATGAACGGATGAGTAGCTGTACCCTAGGGAGCTGAGTTGATGGGTTTGTAGAGACGGGCTGGGGAAAGCAAGAAGAGAGGGAAAGAAATCTGTGTTCTTCGTGGAACCTATTAGCGCAAGTGGCAAGTGAGGCAATTAAGCTTTTGTGGAAGTTGTTAGCTTATGTGGCACATGAGGAAAATAAGCCTTTGGGGCTAGGGCTATTTAAGGAACGTTAGAGAAAGAAGAACCGTAGCTATCAGAAAACATTATTCTTATGAACGATACTAAAACTTCCAAATAAACTTTGTGTGTAAGAGAAAGCAGATGATTTCTCTAGAGTAAAGGATCCTCTTTTGTCCCAGAGCCACTCCTACTTCCTGACCGTCCGGTCATTCTACCAAAACATAACTAAGCCATCTTGTTCTTTCAGTTCAACTAAGTCGTCTCAGGCAAGAGCCTTTTGTGGCAGCAAAAATAAGAAACGCTAATGAACACGAGGCGGCAGCATAACACACATCGTCTCAGAGGGGGGCCGTTACAGGTGTTACATATAAGAGGTCTCAGAAAAGAAGCAAAACATTACACCTTGCTTTTGTTTTTTCCCCTTGACTCTGATGATTAATGCAGCTAGCATCTTTCTGTTTGTGCTTTTCCTCCTAAGCAAGGTTCTATTCTTGTGGTTCTACATAGCTTCTGTTTTGAGACCACCTTGTTCACACACACACCCCGACTAATCCCTTAATTTTGAAAATAAAGGGCAGGAAGGACTGCCTCAGTGCTTAGTTCTTGTGGCCCTTTCTTACATGCCCAGGGAAATGCCAATCGCCACTTTGGGGTCAGGAAGCAATTTTTCTCCTGGCCAGATTGGCCGGGAATCCTGGAGGTTTTTTGTCATCTTCTGGGCATGGAACAGCGGTCACTGGGTGTGTGTGTGGGGGGGGAGGTATCTGTGAGTTTCCTGCATTGTGCAGGGGGTTGGACTAGATGACCCTGGAGGTCCCTTCCAACTCTATGATTCTATGGAAATTAACTGTGAACATACTGGCCTTTCCTTGGTAACGTTCTACTTATACTACCTGATGGTGTGTTGAACCAATTGAGAGTCATAACCATAAGGATATCAAAATGAAAAAATGGATAGCATTATATTTAGGCTCCAAGTTGTTTCTATCTGGCAATATTAAAGAGTAACTTTTGAAGGCGCATGATTGTGTCATGATCCAGTTGATGTAAGCAAAAGTTGAGTTTAATGATTTGCCTCCCAAGTTTATTACTTAAAAGTAATAAGATACTCTGGATAAGCCTGGATATCATTGAAAATGATAAACATGGCGGGCTTTCTCACATTATCAGTCACACTGTCATACAGGTTAGTAGGATCTGTTCCATTTTTTGCCTTTGGAACAACTAAGCCTGCCGATCCAGCACAGTACTCTCCAACAAGCACTCTAGCAAGGTACATGTACTTTTTCCCATCTGCATCTGGCTTCGAATAGGTATCCTGAGCAGAATAGCTGGCGTTAACAGCAAAGTAAGTCCCATTTCCATATGCTGCAGCTACAAAAAAGAAAAAGAAAAGAAAAGAATGTTTAACGACACACTTGCATCTTTTTAGGCATACTCTTTAAAAGTCAGCGGTTGCAGATAGCCAGGCAATCGTCTTTAAGACAAAACCAACACATGAAATAGTGTGCAAGCTTTTGAGTTCTCCAGATCATAGCATGTGTTTCAAGCCACAATCTTAAGGCGTCTTGTCTCTGTCTAATGTAGAACATAGCATGTGAAGTAAAAGTTCACTCACCCCAGGCCAACCTACAAACAATTTTGCCCAATGGAGAAAAAAAGGGGTTTACAGACTTTATGACATAATAAAGGACAATTATTGTCAAAGCATCAACTTGAGCTAAAACATGATTTTACTATTCCCTGGATCCAGTACCATCAGTTACATGACATGGTACTTAAATCCAAAATACACACTGTACTCACTAGAGACTTGACCATCTTTCAACAATTGCTAAAATCTGAAATGATGAGAACTCAGGGACTGATCTTAATAATATATAAGATACTAAATTACACACAATGGTCAAGTGTATCTAGCTGTCAAAAAGCATGGCAAAAGGACTGCAACATGGTTATAGATTAACACCAATGGAATCTCATCTGGTCTTCCAACACCTGTACTTCAAAATCATTAAATATTTGGTTACAGGCTTTTAAAATGTATATAAGGTGGTATCTAACTCCCAACAAACTCTTTTATTACAAATCATTAAGTAGCCACTTATGTTGGAAAAGCTGTCAGAATGTAGGAACATTTGTTCATTGTTGGTGGACATGTCCAAAACTCCAACCATTTTGGACTAAAATTCTTAAAATGATCACCATGTAATCCCACCCAAACCTGAAATTCTCTTGTTGAATCTCTGACCAAATAATAATATCCCAAAGCAAAGACGAGAACTCATTGCTATACTACTAATAGCTGCAAAACTCTTACTAGCTCAGAAATGGAAATCAGATGAGATTGCCAGAATTAAGCAATGGTTTTTAAAGGTATGAGACTTTGTAGTGATGGACAAAATCTCAGATCAGTTGGTAACTGCCAACAATTCTACCTATCAGTCATGTTTTATAGAAAAATGGTATGGTTTCTTTGATTACATTTCACATAACTCAACAAGTGAGAATGTATCACCTAAGAAATAGTTGCACTTCTCATTATATTATTTATTTATTATTTATCCATCTATCAGATTTATACCCCGCCCTCCCCGCAAAGCAGGCTCAGGGCGGCTTCCATACAAGCATAAATACAGTTAAAATCATACAATTATTTAAAACACAACAGATAAAACAAATCCAAACACAAAGTGCTGGCAGTAGTTAAAAGATTAACTTAGATGGCTCGTTTTCAAAATGAATTTCCGTTTCCCAGATGTTCTTAGATTAACATCCTACAGGGCTCTTTTTGTAGCAGGTGTTGTTGTTGTTGTTGTTTAGTCGCACAGTCGAGTCCAACTCTTCGCGACCCCATGGACCAGCTCCCGCCAGGCTCTCCTGTCTTCCGCCGTCCTTTGAAGTTTGCTCAGTTTCATGTTCGTTGCATCTATGATTTGTAGCAGGTACTCATTTGCATATTAAGCGACACACCCCTAATGTAGCCAATCCTCCAAGAGCTTACAGTAGCTCCTGTAAGAAGAGCTCTGTAAGCTCTTGGAGGATTGGCTACATTAGGGGTGTGCGGCCTAATATGCAAAGGAGTTCCTGCTACAAAAAGAGCCATGAATGTGTAAAGCTCCCCCTTTCAAATATTTTTGATGTTACTGTTAGCTAGTTTGTTATAATGCTATATCGTTATTAACTTACCATTTATAACTTCGTATGTACCTATTCTAAAATTAAATAAAATAGGTGTTTTTTTTAAAAAAAGTTCATGCCACAAGACTTGACAATCATTTATACGAGACACATAACCATTCTACCCAAAGACATGATCTCACCACCAACCTACCATGAATTCCAGCATAACTGCGATTAAATCCAGAGTTATTGATGAGAGTCAAGGATGAACTTGCCGTTCCATGAAACAGGCGCTTCTCATTATTTGTAGTGCCATTTTTGGCATCCATCTCCTGTTTCTTTATTTGGTATGCTTGCCAATAGAATGGATTTTGGATCCTCTCGATCTGCAAAGGAATGAAACGGGATATTGACAATTAGCCATTCCATCTTTTGGAAGGAGCATTAAAAAATAAAATGGAGTTGCACTTACATGTAACTCGTGTTCGACGACATCTTCTCTGCAGACACACATTGGGACTGCACCTGCACAGGCCCGCCACGAACAGAATTTTTCTAGCTTTAACAGCCTGAAAGGGGTGCCCCTCTCTTCCGGAGCTGATGGGATGGAATTTTCCCGCCTAAGCTGTCATGTGCCCCTGGGGCCAACCCTGCCGTGCCACTATGAAACCCCGGCAGAATAACCAGAGTCTACGAGAGCTCACAGCAGGGCAAACGGTAGAGAATGTGTGTCTGCACAGAAGACATCAATGAACATCAGTTACACTAAGAAGATAGTCTCGAAGGGCAATTCCTACATTGGATACGATGTCATAAGTACAAAAGGTTTTATACATAAATCTGTCAGCGTTAAGGTTCCAATAGGGAAAAACAGTGAGTTTGAGATGGACTTAGCAAGGTTACTCGCTTAAAACCTTTTGACCTGGGACAATAGACCCCAGGGCTTCCCTTCTTGTCCCTCTTACCTTAATGGGGATTGGACTCATGTTCCAAACCACAAAACTGGAACACCTGCCAAGTAGTATTATATACTTTTCTTGTAGGACCCTTCCTAGAGGCTAACCTCATCTTGATTACCCATTCTGGGTAACCCATGTCTGCTGGTGGTCTCCACTCAGCCTCCAGGGTGTGAGGTTCAGAAATGGACTGTGAACCCTTGAAGTAAGAGGTCCTCTCTCACTGGCAGATGCCATGGTTCTGCTATTGACCATGTTCTTAGATCCTGAAACCATGCCCTCCTTGATTAAAAAAGTGCACTCAATATCATTTTCTATCCCACCATCAGGTGAACTATACTGTACAACAGTTGAATTGATGAAAGGTATACAGCAGTACTAGTTGCCAGTTGCAAACCAATGCATCTATTCATATTGAAGATGGATTACTTATTCTTGACTGAGGGGTGACATGATTGAGGTTTATAAGATTATGCATGGGAAAGAGCAGGTAGAGAAAGAGGTACTTTTCTCCCTTTCTCACAATACAAGAACTCGTGGGTACTCCATGAAATTGCTGAGCGGTCGGGTTAGAACGGATAAAAGGAAGTACTTCTTCACCCAAAGAGTGATTAACACTTGGAATTCACTGCCACAGGAAGGGGTGGCGGCTACAAGCATGGATGGCTTCAAAAGGGAATTAGATAAGCATATGGAGCAGAGGTCCATCAGTGGCTATTAGCCACAAGGTATAGATAGGGGCTCTGGGGCAAGTGATGCCCTGTCTTCTTGGTGCTTGGGGGGGGTCAACAGTGGGATGGCTTCTAATGTCCTGGCCCCACTGGTGGACCTCCTGATGGCCCCTGGTATTTTTGGCCACTGTGTGATACAGAGTGTTGGACTGGATGGACCTTTGGCCTGATCCAACATTGGCAACTCTTATGTTCTTAAGTTCTAACAACCTGTGCACGCAACCATGCAACTGGCCCCCTCTGAAGCAAACACAAAGGGGGGGGGGAGAACCTCAGGCTCTGGAGCAATCCTGGGTCCACAGGTTCTAAGATCCACCTTAGGGGGAAAGGGGCTGCCGCTCTCCAGTACCTCCCAATCAAGGCCACCCTGTTTTCTGGGTCCAGGCCCATCTATTCAGCTGCTACCGAGATTCAGGCAAGGAGGAAAATGGGTCCCGGTTGCTCCTCCCCACAGCGGTTTGCCTGTGGAAGGCAAGACCAGAACCTCTCATGCTTGCAGGGGATTGCCGAGGTTTATCTGCATCTCCCTGCAGCTACTGCCGGACTCAACTGATTCCTTCGGTCTCTCTGGCAATGGGGGGGGGCGGGTCCCCCGGGTCCCCCCCGCAACCAATCCAATGATTAGAAGCTTCCTTGGGAGTTGGCATTCTAGTTACAGCTGCTGGGGATCTCCCAATGCCACCAGTCTGAATGCAGGTCACCTCCACCCTCATCCGTCTCTCTGGGCAGTGAGGGGGGAAGGGAGGCACAATCAATTTGAGTCCTCCTCAGGAGTCAATGTCCTAGCCATGGCTGCCAGGGATCACCCAGCGCCACAGGCATTGGCACAGCTGGCCTCCACTCTCCTCAGCAGCGGAGAAGAAGGTAGGGAGGAGAGGATCTATTTATTTTTTATTTATTTATTTATTTATATTTACATTTATATCCCACCCTATCCCGAAGGCTCAGGGCGGCTAACAGGGGCACCAAGTGCCAAGTAAAACAATATCATATAGTTTAAAACAAGAACATATAATTTAAAACAATCACATATAGTTTAAAACCATAAATTACAATCAGATATAACAATTTACAGCAAACTTCAGCAAGAGGGAAGATCTTAACCTCACCTAGCTACCGACGATCTCATACTCAGAGCCGTGTCCAGTGCCACGCTCCACCCTTGGGGGGGCCAGGCAATCAGGTGTTAGGTTCGCTAGGGCATAGGGGTACAGATGGAATGGTGACGGCGGCGGCTCCTATCCAAAAGCCTGGCGGAAGAGCTCCGTCTTGCAGGCCCTGCAGAACTGAGAAAGGTCCCGCAGGGCCCGGATCTCCTCCGGGAGCTCTCTCCACCAGGTAGGAGCCGCCACCTAAAATGCCCTAGCCCTAGCAAATTTAACTTCTTTCGGGCCTGGAATTTCCAGGAGGTGCCTCCCTCCCGACCGAAGTGCCCTTGGGGGAACATATGGAGAAAGGCGGTCCCTCAGGTAGGCTGGACCCTGGCCATTTAGGGATCTATTTTCCCCTCCTAGGTGAGCCTCTCTGTTCTTCAAACATTTTCTTCTTTTGTTTCTTCAACTCTCCCGGGATTGTTGCACTCTTTAGAGTGTAGCTGAAGACATCTGGCTCAGAAGGCAGGGTCGGTGAGACTGGGAATCCAGGGGACAAGCCCCTCCCCTCCGGGATCAATTCATCCGCCAGCCCTGCCTTTGGAGAGGAGGTGCTATGTTCCCGGAAGTAAGGACTGCCCCACTCCTAGGACCACTGGAGAACAGATGCATTTGAAGATCATGAGATGACATAAAAGCATTCTGCAAGCCAAATTTGGTATCCCTTTCCCAAAGGGCCACGCTTTTTCTACGTTTTGCACACTACTCATTTGTACTGATATTATACGAATGAAGCTTTTAGTTCAAATGGAAGAGGTCTGAACATGCCAGATATAGCAACAGCAGACCAGCTCTTTAGTAAAGGAGTTCTTTTCAGCAAGCTTGAGTTTCCCTGGGCAGCATTTCAGTACTATAACCAGTGGAGCCTTCAGCCAGAGTTGCAGGGAAATCACAACTTGCAACAGTGAGCAGGAGACAGAGACAAGTCTGTAGGTCACATCAATACTGTAGCACAGGACAGCATTGGATAAAAAAAACCCTCTTATTTTTATGTCCCTGGACCCAAAAGGGTCCATTGAGTGTGTCGTATAAAATATGGATTGTAGAAGCAGTAAACATGCCTGGTGCTGATCAAATAGGTCTAGCTGTGCAGAATTCTGCAGATGGGCATTAATGTGGTGGAGGAAAGTTGTCCAGCAGGTTTCCACAACAGTTTTGCCTGTACAGTAGTGAACAACAAAATCCATACTTAATTTCTCCCATGAATTCGAGCATCTGCTTGACAGGAAGTACCGGTCAGATCTTTGGAAACACGGCTTGGTGCCTGCTACCATTTTCTTAATCACCAGTGTCTCAACGGCAAGTGGTTTTCTTGTTTTAAAAACACATCGCCACAAGAAGAGCAAGGAAAGAAGAAAACAATTAAGAAGCAGCAGAACAACAGTAGTCCTCTTACCTTTTCAATTGTGAATTTCTGGCACGTCTGGCTAAACATCTGCTGGACATCCTGATATTCCTTCATTCCCGGATTTAGCTCCACTGCAATGACACGCTTTTGCTGCATGTCCACCCACTCTTCAGGAACTGCCGTTGGAGATTTATCTGCGTAACAACGGCACTAATATTACTCATTCCATGGTTAGCCCAATAGCACCCTTTCAAGACTTTTTTACAGACTGAACTTAAATGGCTGGGCTTATACCAACAACGGGAGTGGCTTTCAGTTAAGAATGGACAACTGTCCAGCCTTAACTCATCGTTACGCACTCCAAACCTCCAAGCAAGCTTGTGGTAGTGACACAGCTAGAAATGTGCGTAAATCTGTACAAACCTTTGCTAAAAATAAAGGTAAAAGAACTGGGCCAATTAAGCACCAGTTCAATTAAAACGCACTTTGCCTTTCTGGTGCCCACTGGAAGCATAAGGAGTTCATTGTGCTTTCAAATATTACACAAAGGAGTGAAAACTGTCCCTATGTTAACAGGTCAAAGGCCCATTCTTTTAACGTTTGAGTGTGAAAGACTTTGCAAGATGACATCTCCTGAGTTCGTGGACAGTATTTGCTCAGAACAGTTGATCAATTCACTGATGGATACCGCCAGTGTCTCAGGTAGCTTAGAAGCCCTGTGGTGGCTCCTGTTGTGCAATGAACAGTTAGCGGTCATGGACAGAGTGGTGAGTAGCTTGATCTCTAAATCAAACCACTTCTCTGTGTGTCTTAAGGCTGCCTCTGTAACAACTGGTTTCTTGCAAAGATATCAAGACTAGAACACTTTATAGCAGAATCTTAAAACTTCTAAAATGACACTATGAAGGAAAAAGAAAATAACTGTCCACAGACAGACTATTAGGGACAACAGGTGATGGCGTACCTCCTCCAGAGGAGTGGGCATGATACTGGAATTGATTTGCCAACAAGTCAGTACACACTACTGCAATACAAGAACTCGTGGGCACTCCATGAAATTGCTGAGCGGTCGGGTTAGAACGGATAAAAGGAAGTACTTCTTCACCCAAAGAGTGATTAACACATGGAATTCACTGCCACAGGAAGTGGTGGCGGCTACAAGCATGGACGGCTTCAAAAGGGAATTAGATAAGCATATGGAGCAGAGGTCCAGCAGTGGCTATTAGCCACAAGGTATAGATAGGGACTCTGGGGCAAGTGATGCCCTGTCTTCTTGGTGCTTGGGGGGTCAACAGTGGGAGGGCTTCTAATGTCCTGGCCCCACTGGTGGACCTCCTGATGGCCCCTGGTATTTTTGGCCACTGTGTGACAGAATGTTGGACTAGATGGGCCTTTGGCCTGATCCAACATTGGCGTCTCTTATGTTCTTATGTTCACTGTGGAAATGCATAGAACAGAGAAGAGAAAACAAGACAACACAAAATGGCATATTCAAGCTTCCTAAATTTACCTTCTGTTTTTGAGATACGCTTAATATTAATGGTTTTCCCTTGGTCATCTGTTGCCCGCAGTTGAGCTGGGTCTACTCTGTAGCGTTTGTCCTTTATGGTGATGTCATGCATGCTCTTATTTTGCCATGCAAGTTCTATATGCATGCTTGTCAGGTTATCAAAGGTTCTGTAATGGCCACTGTCTTCATACTGCCACTCAACAATGTTGCTGAGAAGATCAGCCCTGGACCGCTCCTCTTGGGCTTTCCGGACCCTTTTGATCACTCCTTGGATTTCTAAGTTGGCACTTAAGACATCCCTGGTTAAACCAAAAACGCGGAGGGAGGTCATCGTTTCTGGCTGAATGACGACCTGCAGTTTTGTCTGGAGCTCTCTCAGTTTCTCATATTCTCTTTCTCCAAAGCTCGAGATCCATTCGTCTGAGACAGTGGTTTCGTTCTGGTTCTTTAAAATCAGATCTCGGAGCCAAGATTCTGCCTTCTCCACATTCTTCGGGCTGTCACTGCAAATCTGAAAAACGGCGGGCTTGACGGCCCTCTCCAAAAGCAATGCAGGCTTTGCCTTTGTTGCTGGCTTGTTGAAACCAAAGAATTCTGCAGGGAAGCATTATTCAGAGAACAGGTTTACACGTTTAAGATTCCTCAGCAGTCAGAAAGAACCACACCCATAAGCCCACTACTTACCTGCCACTTTAGAGAAAATTGATTTTTGTGAGCCAGCACCAGGCTTGCTGGTTGCAGCTTCTTTTTTCTGCATACTTGTATAAAAAATGTTTTCCAGGTGTGGCTGGAAAATTATCACTTTAATCGTCGTCACCACTGGGGCAGACGTTTTGCCCGCATATTCCACTATGGCATCTATCATATCATCAGCTACTGCAGCTGGATCCAGTGCTGCCTTCCCTATAATAACAGAATAATGATAAGATATAAGTAACTGATATAAACAACTGAAATATAAAAAGGCTTCCTCCCCCCACTGTGACCAGCTACACTATGACCCCTGGAGTACAAAATGTGTCCCATTTCTACCACTGCAAATTCTCACTATATTGGAAGCTCACTAATATCCCTTTTGTCTAATCAATGTATATCCCACCTCATAAATGGGAGGCTCAGCACAGCAGCAAAATACACACAAGTAAATAAATACAACATAAAACATAAAACAACCCTCAGCAACTTAACAGTATACAAATCATAGTACCATAGACAAAAACTGGAAGAAGAGATTGAATTTATACCCTAACCCTTCACTACCCAAAGGAGTCTTAGAACGGCTTACAATCCCTTTCCCTTCCCCTCCTCACAACAGACACTCTGTGAGGTAGGTGGGGCTGACAGAGCTCTCCTGAGAACTGCCCTTGAGAGAACAGCTCTGAGAGAACTTGTGACTGACCCAAAGTCATGCCAGCAGCTGCAAGAATTTATTTATTTATTTATTCTTTTGGCTTGTATCCCGCTCGAATCCCAAGGGGTCTCAGAGCGGCTTACCCAATTATTTGTTCCCTAAGGGAAGGAAGAAGGAAATATAATCCCTAAACAAACTGAAAACCATTCCCAGTTTAGAAGCTAGCTATATGATACACATGGCAGGGCAGCAAGGGGCCTGTGTAACCTCAGAACATGGATTGTATCCAAATGTCTGATTTGTAAAGCTCTCGAGTTAAGTATCTGTTGACTTGTATTCTACCACTCTGCTTAAACAAAGCTTGAAACCTTCTTCTAGGAAAAGCAGCTTTCCTGTCAGTGGAAGGCACAGAGAAACAATCATCGCTGAAATGTGTTACAGAAAAATAAGCAGCCCAGAGCTCAAGAGTAGCTTGCATTTGTAAAGTACGGTGGCCGTATAAGTTGTAAATAGTGAGTAGATGCTTAAAATGGGGAGAGGCACAACAAACCATAAGTTATATAGTTAGTCAAGTCAAGTTTATTAATACAGTCAAGTGACCAGCCAATTTAGAACATTCCCAAGAATAATAATACTATAAAATACATAATAAATAGCTACATAAAATTCAAATGGATATATAAAAGAACATTAAAACAAATGCAAGAGCAACACAGTATATCTAGGGTACAAGCTTCCTCTTTTTAAGAGCCAAGAAGCAAAATTTTGCAACGGCTAAAGATATCCTCTCTTTCCGGTCTTCCAGCAGAAAAGTTAAAATCCTTAATTCTGCAAATTTCAGGTGGACATCCAAGGGTTTAAATTTGGACAACAATGGGAAAATTAGCAACTGTCTCTCCCTAGCATAAAAGTTTCAATGCAACAGAATATGTGAGACCGACTCTATTTCAAGATTTGTACAAGGGCAACATCTTTGGGAAACAGGCCAACGCAAAAACTTTCTTTGTAACAAATTAGAGGGTAAGGCATCAAAACGTGCTCTGGAGAAAACCCATCTATAACCATCGTATATGATGTTAGGAAGAATGGAGCAGGAGCAAATCCTGTCCAGGATTTTAAAACTCTATATCTTGAGGGTAAGAGGGCTTCTTCTGTCTGAGCCTCTATATCTATTAGGCGTTGGGTCACTATAGATTTAGCTTTAGTCAATCCTAGCTCCAAAAGACTTGCAGGGTGAAGCCCGATTGATCCAAGCTTAGTTAAAATTTTGGAGGCCCATTCAGGATAAGGAGTGGCCGCTATAAAAGATGGAATTAGACCTGTAGGCTTCAAGTGCATTCGCAACCAATAAAGAATTGAAGCAATCCAGATTTTCGTTTCCATTTTTGTCACCCCAATCTCCTGCCTAAGAACTACATTCGCTGTACATTTAGGCGCATTAAATAATGCTCTGATAAATTTAGATTGAACTTTTTCGAGGCCCTTAAAACTATTATCACTTATTGTGTACCATATGTAAGTTATATAGTTATGCATTGTGTAATGTTTGTTTCTCTGGCCAACCCTGCTTGCTCTCTCGCTCTCCCTCTCTCTCACTTTCTGTTAAGTGCTTCCTGTTGAACTTGCAGAGGAATAAAGCTCTTTTTAGAGAACAAAGTGCTTGATTGTTGGGGGAAAGTGTTAAGATTCAAATACAGTAGCACCTTAAAAGCCAACACAATCTTTGAAGTGTAAAGCTCCCGTGCACCAAAACTCCCTTTGTCAGACGCTTCCCTCGTCAAGACGCCTCTGCAACTACATTCTTGGGTGAGAGGGAATCCCTGACATAAAGACTCCAATCCACGTTAGCACTTAAGATCTCTCTTAGAAGTCACACACAGACACCGAGAGAGGGAAGGAGAGAGACGCAAACAACCAGGAAGGGGGCAAGCTTGCCACCTCCTCTCATACCAGTATACACCCACACACCCCTAAGCTGAGGTGGGCCTGGCACCCTCTCTGCCAGTATAGTACTGGAGAAATTCTATGGCTCTTTTTGTAGCAGGTACTCATTTGCATATTAAGCGACACACCCCTCATGTAGCCAATCCTCTGAGAGCTTGCAGTAGCCCCTGTAAGAAGAGCTCTGTAAGCTCTTGGAGGATTGGCTACATTGGGGGGGGGGGTGGCCTAATATGCAAAGGAGTTCCTGCTACAAAAAGAGCCCTGAAATTTACCTGGAATTTCTCAGGAGGTAGCACACTACCTGTTCTGATCCAGTTTGGATGGGAGGAGTCCAACTGGATAATGCATTCCTCCTGAATCCTGTCCTCTAGGTGGTTTGGCTCAGATGCCTAGCTAACAGAGGAGGCACTAAGGAGCCGCATGGTCAAGGGCTAAAGATGTGAAGGCCCGGGGGGAAATTCAGGAAAAAACCCATTTTTCCCATGAAGCCTTTTTTTGTTTTTTCCGAAAAACTGAAAAAATTGAAAAAAGAAAAGAAAAAAAAATTGATTATGGGACATTTTATTTTAACGTGATGAATAAAATATTTTCGGACAAGGTGTTCAGATATTTTCCAAATCATTTCTAAAAAAATATGTATGGTATCAGATTGATCTAACTTCTGTGCACTGAGGACAAGCAAGTCCTAGGTTACAAACTGAACTCTCCAATGCAAGAACGAAATGCATTTCTTCCTTTAGGAGGTGCTATTGTCACAAGAAAAGAAAAAGGTTTCAGTTTTGTTTTTGCATGTGGGTGGGTATTCTGTTTGTAATAATTGTTTGGATACACTATATATTTTAATAGGCTAGTTGTGATAATTTCATGCCAAGTAAAAATGTCCATAGTCATATTTTATGTTCCTAAAGTAACAGAATGACTTTCAAACTGGAAGAGAAAAAAGAAGTGCTAATGTAGCATTATTTCTATTTTCCCGAAAAAAACAGTTTTTTTTCCCGAGCTTCAAAATTTCCGGAAATTTTACATCTCTATCAAGGGCACAAGATCTGCATCAGAGGAGACCTGAGATCAGAGAAGGGGTGACTGAGAAAATACATCCAGTCTGCTCCTTCGGGTACCTAAGTGTTTGTTTTAAGGGAGCCGTCAACACCAAGGCATAATCTTGCACTTTTCTACGTTGCTCATTCAATATAATGGAACAGTACTGGGCCATCCAAGATACCAGAAGTTCAGTCTTTCCACCGTCATTTCAAGGAAATACAGACCTGTCCCAATTGCAGGAAAGGCAACAGAGGTGAACCCCCTTTGCTCACATTCCATGAGAGCTTTAGAAACTTGTCCTTTTATATCATTATTAGCAACAAGATGGATTATATTTTTACTCCTCAGATTCCCCCCTTGCGTGCATATAAGGGTGCTGTGAAGCTGTGATGCTGAAAAAGGAAAAGAAACAGTAAGCCAAGGAACAAAAATTGTTTTTCTTCCAATCAACAGAAATGCAAATCTTCCATTCTAGGGGGCTTTCTGGGCCATTTTTTTCATGTACAATAATAACAGGTTTGCCATTGACTCCCAGCAAGTGCCCCAGTTCTGCACTGGTTGCAGAATGCAGCTGTTTCAATGTCACATTGTCACCAAGGCACCACTTGCTGCCACCCACTCTAAGCGGTAGCACAGAGGATTTATCCTCTGGTTAACATCTGAACTCAACAGAGCTGCTGTCAGTTCTAGCCCGCGCTGGTGTGAGCTACCAGCCTTGTTCCCAGTTTGCCGTCCACCCAGTGGTTCGAAAGCTTCAGCGAGTAGATAAAATGGGCACCACTCCTTAGAGAGGGTGGGCACACTAAACCCCCGTGGGGGAGGTGTTAGCCGGCGAACGGAAGGTCCAGCTCGGAAGCCTGGGGGGGGGGAGACCTCTTCGGCATTAAAAAGCCTGTGATGGGCCAATCCGGCCAGGCGGTGGCAGTGCGGCACTACAACTCAAAGCAGTCCTGAAAGAACTGACGTCATCAAGCCAAGCCAAAAGTGAATGCCGTCCAGAACACGTCTGAAGCCTACAGCTGAACAAAATCCCCGTTGGCTGCAAACGTGTGCGATTTAAAGAATTATATGTTGTCCTCCCTTACCCCTATGAATCATTGTTAGTCCCTTGTGAAAACTTGTGTAACTGTAAATCGCTCAGAGTCAGCAGCTCTGCAGGACTGAGCGATCAATAAAATCGAAATCGAAAGACACACAGCAGCTATCAACAAATCTCTCTGCACCCAGTCCAAACTCTCGGAAAGCTTCTTTAAAAACAAAACAAAACAATAGATTTAGAAACTTTAAAAGATTCTTTTAAAAAGTAAAGCACCATGTGGGAGGGTAGGCGTTGGCCCAACCCCCTGCCACGTGGCTGGCAAGGACAGCCCACCACTCCGTGGCCCCAGAACTGGAAGGGAGGTGGGTTAGTCAGCACACCAGTGCCCCTCCTCACCCCCTTCGCCCATGCGGCTTCTACTCGTCAGAAAACAAGGCTGGAGTCCTCCCTGTCTGCCACTCCTCCCCAACAGATTGAAGGACTGATTTCCCATCGGTATTCCCCCATCATCCCCTCAAAGTCCCACCCCAGGACATGGCTACCAAGTAGGCATTGTCCTCCGTCACCCGAGCCACTGCTCAGCTGAATGCCTGGCCAAAGTTCACAGGGCCAGACCACCAAGGCGCCACTTGCTGCCACCCGGAACAGTGTCTGGCAACCGTTTAAAGGGTTGCTACACAGTGGTTCTGCCCAAGGGACCGCCTTTCTCCATATGTTCCCCCAAGAGCTCTACGGTCGGGGTCGCAGCACCTATTGGTGGTTCCCAGCCCCAAGGACATCAAGCTGGCTGCAACCAGGGCCAGGGCTTTCTCGGCGGCGACTCCTGTCTGGTGGAATGAGCTCCCAAAGCAGGTTCAGGCCCTGCGGGACCTGGCGCAATTCCACAGGGCCTGCAAGACGGAGCTCTTCTGCCAGGCCTTTGCATAGGAGCCGCCGCCACCACTGTACCACCACCAAGTTGCCATCTTCTACAGTGGATTAGATCTGGAGGTGAGCCGGCCCTGGGCAGACGCCTAGTTAACCGAAGAATGCTTGTTATCGGGCTAGGTTGATGAATGGAATTCATCTTGGATTAAGAAAATTTAACATCAAGAGCACCGCACTTTACTTAACTACTGTTTTATACTGTTTAATGATTGTTTTTATGTTGTTTTAGTCGTTGCTATGGCAATTGCCTCTGTTGTAGCCACCCTGAGCCCGTTGGGGGAGGGCTGGGTATAAATCTAATAAATAAATAAACCATGAACACCACCTGTCACCACTCAGCTAGGTGACGTGTAGGTGACCAAAGGGCTGGGTTGCTACCTGACCCCATCACTGAGCCAGCTGTCAGGTGGTCCTTAAGAATCCGCCCCTTCTGCAGGGCACTTGACTGGGTACCATCCCCTTCTCCCCCTCTGCCAGATCAGTCACCAGTCAGGGGTAGTAGCATCACTGTCCTTCAACACACCAAACACCAGAAATTCTCCCACAAAAGGCCTCAGAGTGACCGTAAGAGAATTTTACTACCTCTTTGGTTCCAACTTTAAGTTGTGCTGTTGAAGAGTTTGTCTATATGCATGTCCTGCTTTGATTCCCCATCCCTCCTTGCCGAATTAACCCCTACTTGTATTTTAAGTTCTACTTGAGAATGGTAATAGGTGACTGGAGGAAGTTATTGTTGAAATTACTTGACCTAAGTATAAACAAGACGGATCCCAGACAGGCAGGCCTCGGAATCATGCCTTGTCAAAGACCCTGGTCAGTGTGACATCTTAGTCTGACCCAGCTGCATCCTCTCCCTCCACCCTGACATCTGCATACACCGAACAATGGACCTGCCTCGCCCCAGAGCCAGAGCGAACACCATCCAACCTGGATCGCTAATCCTATCAACCTCCCCATACCTTTTCCTATCCACATTTCTTTCCCACCTAACACAAAAGGAGGGTCAACCAAGCAGCATTGTTTCCTTTTGATTAGTTTAATTAGCAATCCATTAGCCCTCTGAAGCACTGAAGGAAGCAGCATGCCCCCAGGTCCCATTTTCTCTATAACTAGGCAGCCACAGCTCCATTGCTGTGTGTCTTGTCTGGGCGCCTAATGACAACACCCCCCCCCCACACACACACTGCTTGGGTCCTTCTGTGAGACGCTGGTTCACCTCACGTCTGTCCATGGATTCCTGCTCTCTTCTATTCTCACTACTCCCTTTCAGGCCCGTAGCCAGGAATTTCTTAGTCGGGGGGCATTTAAATTTCATAGGGGGCACTGGTTAATCAAATTAAAGGTAATTTAATTAAAGTCAAATAGACGTTCTGGGGGAAATAGAGAGGTGCTGTCTGGCTCAGTGGGGCCACTGTATCTGGCCCTTCATGCCAGACAGCTGTGCTAGAAAACCTGGCTCCTTCCCCGCACCTGCCACCGCCCGGGGGCCCTGGGCTGGATGGGAAGTCATGGGGCCTTGCCAGTAAGTCGGGGGGCCTAGCCCCAAGATACCCCACTGTAGCTACGGGCCTGCTCCCTTTATTTCTAAATTGGACTTGTAAGCGTGTGACTTCTTGCATGCTTATCGTATGTTAGTAGTCTTATTTTCTCTTTAATAAAATCAATCTCCGTTTTACCTTGGACTAGTTATTTGAGAGTTCTCTTAAGAGAAAAAGTCCCCATAAAATATAGGTGAAGAGTCTTGCTAGTGACCTCCGGTGTTCCCTCTAAGCTGAGTTAGTGTGAGCTAGCTCACAGTTCTTTAGCCTCCAGCTCACACATTTTTATTTTAGCTCATGAAGGATGGCTCCAGAGCAAACTAATTGATGCAGTAGCCAAATCACTCGCTCACCTCTTTAATGCCAGTAGCTCACAAAGTAGAATTTTTGCTCACAAGACTCCACAGCTTAGAGGGAGCGTTAGTTACCTCCCTCTTGCAAAACCTTTGTCTCCTTCGCTAATCCCCCAACTAAACAGGAGACAGCCCCCTTTTGGGCCATCACAGACCATTTGAGCTAATACCAAGTCCTATAATTTCTTCCCCTCAGTATAGGTTGGTGGGAGAAACAGGGGTTATAATCAGAATCTGACAAACTGGCACCTGAAAGGATTTGCTGGAGGCCTCTCATGCCCCCCCCCCGCCCATTATTTTCTCTTTTCCTTTTCTGAAAGCCCCCATAGACTCTCCTCTGGGGTCGCCGGCTCCATCTTGGAAGATTCCTGGAGATTTGAGATGCAGCCTTCAGAGGGTGAGGTTTGGGGATGGAAGTGACCTCTACAGGGCACAGCGCTATGCAGTCCACCCTCCAAAGCAGCTATTCTAAACAAAGTTGACTTCCTACCTAGCTGAGCACATTCTGCTTCCACCACAGGTCCAGCTCCCTTCAGAATTGCTCTGGAAACACCTTGAAAAAAAAAAGAAAACCACATTTGTCCGAAAAAATATAAAAAGTCAGAAATGCTAAAATTAGGCTTCCCAAGTCCCCCCGGAGGGCGGGGAAACCCCCGCCCCAGAGGCCCATTCCCCGATAGCGGCGGATCGGACCCCGGGGGGGAACCCCACCCCGACATGCGCATCACCCGGAAGTGACGCGGCCACGCCGGGCACGCTGGGGGCAGGGCCATGGTCATCCGAGGGAAAACTCTATGGTTTTCCCTCAGATGGTCGTGGCCCCGCCCCCAGCGTGCCCGGCATCGTCACGTCACTTCCGGGTGACGTGTGTGCAGCCGCGCGCACACATGCGCTCCTGCTGCAGTGCGGGAGTCCCCCGGTAAGAAGAAATTTCGACTTGGCAACCCTAGCTAAAATCCAAGGCGTTAGAATATAGCCTTTCCTCATTCAATGTATGGGCAACATAAGCCAATATTCAAGTGCAACTCATAGTGTAAATTCAGATCTGTACCTAGGACTTCAAGCATAATTTACAGTGGTAAATTCCAGACAGGAGTTCCCAATGTGTTCAAGCAGTACTTTCTGACTTATTGGGAATGTTGCAGACCTGACAGGGATACATCACCGGGATACTGCAAGTCACTCAAAGTCTGCTGCCAAAAGGCATTACCATTCTTATGTGCATCATATAACTCCAAAAGAGTCTCTGTTCCTCTAGAATGTGGATGCACCTGTATAACTGGACAGGGGTTTTTTTGTAGAAAAAGCCCAGTAGGAACTCATTAGCATAACAGGCCACACCCAACAGCTGAAACTCATTAGCATATTAGGCCACACCCTGACACCACAGCTCATTAGCATATTAGGCCGCAGCCCCGTGTTGCCAGAAGTGTGGTTATCCAGCCACACTCACCTTTTGCTTCTTATTCTGTTTACCTTGTTTGTTGTTGTTTGTAGCAGGGACTCCTTTGCATGTTAGGCCACACGCGTCTACTGTAGCCAATCCTAATGAGTTTCTGCTGTTGGGTGTGGCCTATTATGCTAATGAGTTCCTGCTGGGTGTGGCCAACTCAGGAGCCAGCCGGAACTCCGTTCCTGTGCGTTCCTGCCCAAAAATAGCCCTGTAACTGGACTGTTCAAGTGGCGACAGCTAGAAGCTGGGTGAAGTGTGAAGGAATGAATAGGGCTCCTCCCACTCTCCCAGTTTCTGCCCAGAGGTTCACTGATCTCATACAGACAGCTCTTTTCCCACACATCTGCAACGGATGTGCAGTAAATTCCTCCTTTCTAGACAGCACGATATATGGATGCGCAATAAAGTCCTCCTTTCCACACAGCAGGATACAGAAGACTAAGCCTGAAAATTCAGTCTTAAGTAGTATAGCCACCTATACGGAATGCTGGAAGTGGAGGCAGCCATGCACAAATCTCTACAATACAGGCACAAAATCTCTCTGGTGTTATTTATACAGCTGTCTGCTGGTATTGAAAACAAGCCCCCCCCCCCGAAAAACTCTAGCAAGTTCTGCTCCTTTACGACCAGAGCAATATTTTCTACCACTGTATTCATACGAGTTGGAGGAAGACAGCAATTCTTTTCAGGGTTGAACAGTTCAGCAGAAAGTTTCCCATAGGCACGTGGCACTTCCTAGCATTGTAACAATTAAAAATAATCTTTCACCGGAAAAATGGAAGGCAACAACTGAGGCATCCTTATCCATACCAGAAGTCTCATTTTAAGAGAGATGAAAGAGTATACACTGAACACAGCATCCAGCTGCACCCAAATTACAGAAACCAAACTCCAAGTGTGGGGGGGATTAACCCAATAGATTATTTCACATACCTTCTTTCAAATTAAATGTTGCATTGCTTATGTTCACTATAACATCTGTAGTTTCCTGGGTAATATCTCCACATGCTGCCTGAAATGTAACTGAGCCAATACGCATTTCATGAGCTCCAGCAGTTGTAACTGAGACATGTTCACTCAGAGCTGAAAGAAGAAAAAGAGACCGACTAGTTCTAGAGCCACAAATCCTGGGCGAAAGCAAGCAGAATCTTTCACACTCCTAACCTGTACTTGTTCGGAGCTTACATTTTTGCCCTCTCAAACCATCATTCTCGTGAGGACCAAACTGCATGTTACAAGGTACAAAAATCTGCCACAGGGACTCACAGCCACATTATAATTGTGGGAGATCCTAATGGGAACTCCATTTTAAAAATACCACAGTGGCCCAATCTGGATCAGAACCATGGCATGGGTGAGGTTCGTGTCTTTCCCTCATGCCATTTTCCCAAGATGGAACACCACTGTGGGGGTGATATTATTTACTTCACTGGAGACTGACAAGGCATACAACATCCCCATGTTGCTACTTCAGTTAGGAAAAACAGTGTGAGAGGAAAGCAGGAGACCCTCCTCCCCAACATCAGGTACCCTGATCCAAACTGGCCACCACAGCACTTTTAAATGGAGTTCCCACAGCTGACATATGGCTATGAGTCCATGTGGCAGAACTGTGTCCATCGTAAAATGTAGTCTGGTCCTAAGTGGCTGGATATTAGCAGGAAT